CAAAAATGAGTTTTCACATCTTTTTAACTACACTAGACAACGCCTTTAGTACACTGAAACACACCACATACACCCTATACCTCAGTTGGAACACAGGCCAGATGACTGTTTAGAGATGTAAATAATGATACCAGTGTACCTGCTATACACAGAAACACACAGTCATTCTGGTACTCCCAACAGCTACAGCATCCTTTGAGAAGCTTGCCTTGCCAGAAAACCAAGCTCACTGCCTTTTGTGTGTGAGCACAATAAAATGTATCTGTATGTTTGCATCACCCTGATGGCCTAAGGTACACCGTTCAGTGGGGAAAATTCATACTCTAGTCTCTGACCCAGGCACGTCTCCACAACCCTGCCTAAGCTGTGTACTCTCCATGCTCTCCAAAAAGACTTCATCTACTCTGATATTTCTGCCTAATTCCAAGCAACATTGCTTTCTCATGATGACAGTAATTATTACCCAAAGGAGAGTCTTGAAAAGTGCAGGGAGTCGGGAAGTCTTGTCAGACACTTGATGGTTCTCCTGTTGTGTCCCTGTCCCTCACGTGACCCCCAATCCTGACTGCAACCCATCCCAGTGGCCCGGGATCATACACTTAGTAGTATGAAACACAAGCCATGACAGTGGCTGGAGCACTATTATTAAAGAGAGATTAAAACAGCTGTACATTATGCTGAAGCACTCGCTCTTCCCTCCACAAACAGACGGTCCTGGATTACAAGCAGCACTTGACCGTTTAAATCACGACAGCCACCACATTTAACCAGCTGGGCCATATTCTCCTAGCGCTGCCTGTTGACCTCCTCAGTCGCAGCTGCTCAAATGAAATTCTCATTAGACAACTTATTTTCAGAAGCCAAAGGACTCTCTGATTAAATATATGTATTTAGATATAGAAGTCCTTTTTAAAGTCTTCATTTTCTGACAACTGTCGCTTATGTTAGGACCCAGCTATGCTGGCAACAAGCTGGGTAACACAGGGATAACTGGAAGTCATCATCAATCGCAGCTGAAGGATTCTTACCCTGGAAGCATTCTAACCTGACTCTATGAATCAACGCCTTTCTGAGTGCTCTACCCACCAGTATCAACTGGGTTTTAGAAAGAAGATTCTAAGATGCTGTCATTCACTCCACCCCTGTGTCTATCTATTTACCCATCACTTCCCTACCTGCCACCTACCTACTCATCTACTGAGGACACAAAATCAAAGTCAAAATTCACAGAAGCAGAACCCCGTTCATCTTCCCACCAGCTTCACTGTTAGAGGAGGGGTGCTTCTGATAGAAGGCTGTTGTTCACCAGCTTCTCAGCAATCTAGTCAGAGCAATGTTCAGGAAAACAGGAATACAATGGACTGAGGCATCTGCCTGGAACGTTGCTGTTTTATCATGTAAGCAACACTTTAAAATGGACAGTGATAAACTTCACATAGATAAGTTTCTGCACTAAGAGGAATGAGAAAGAAGGTGTTCTTAATTGGATAAAGAGTGGAAACATTCTCTAGGAATAACTACAGAAAGGTCTTCATTTATCGTGTAATCCATACAGGCTTATCAATCAACTAATCCTAATATATGACCCTCAAACCATGAAGTAGAAGTTAAGGAGGGATGATATATGTGAAAAGCTCTTACATGCACCATGAGTTGGCATGGCCCACCTGAGGGGCCAGACCAGAGTCTTTAAGGCGCCAAAGCCAAGCAGGTGCTGGAGAACTAACTGTTTGACCTCCTGAGACCTACACTATAATCATTCTAGAATCAGAAATCTACCCTAAACTTTAATGATCTTTCTATATTTCTTTGTTCTCCCACTATATTGTTCTATTCTATTACCAGAAGATGATTGAAATCAGTGTTCAGGGCTGAGAAGTGATGGAGTGGGTATAGCACTGGCTGTAAGAGTGCCAAGACCTGAGTTCACGATCCTAGGACTCATGTAATGCTGGACACACGATGAACATCTGTAATCCCGGCATGCCTATGCAGCCAGAGAGGACTCCATAGGAGGAGATGGGACAGTCCTTTCAAGTTTGTAGGACAGTTAGCCTGATATACACAGTGGCAAGCAACAAGAAACACTATCTGCAACAGGGTGCAAAGTGAGGGTTAACACCTGAAGTTGTCCTCTGACCTTCACACAGTCACTAGGGTGGGTGTGCTGTACACACACACACACACACACACACACACACACACACACACACACACACTTAAAATGGGACTCAAAATTAAAATATTATAAAAGTCAGAATGAAAATTAGAAACCACATCTTGCTCCCATTTGCAAACCATATTTGTTAATTTTCTTTTTTTTACGGACTGTATTACCACCGAGTTACATCCTCTTGGATGTTGGACATCCTTTTGATTTCCACACTCATGTATCATCTTCTGAATGCCTCTCCTGATTCCATCTCCATATGCAGCCCTCCTTTCCCATTTCTAATAATAAGTTCAGGCACTTATTATCTCTAGCCTAGAACAATGTCCTTAATGTTTGTCCCGGCTCCCATTCACCCTACACCAAACTGCCAGATTCACATTCTTAGAAAAAAGTTACAATCCATTGCCTTACTGGGGTAAGACAGTCAGCACCACCTCCACCCCTTTCAATACAGCGTTAGAATTCCTTAGCTGAAACTGCAAGGCCTGTCACGATCTGAACACAGCCTGGCTTTTCATCTTTATGTTCCATATGCAACTTCACCTCAACTTAGAACCTGAAGGTTGGCTGTTTTAAGTGCAATGCCTGTTCTTCAGCCTGAAATGCCTCGCCCCTACATTCTACCTATAGAAACCCTTTCATTCTCCATGACTAGTTAGGACTTATTCCCCACAACCTTATAAACACCCCAAACATTTTATCTGTACTGCTTTCATGGAACCTGCCACTGTTAGACTTCAAACTACATTTAATTCAATCTATGTCTTATACCTTTTACTAGAATATGAATTGCTGAAAGTTAGAGATTACTGTCTTATGTATTATGAGCACAGCATATCACTAGCATCAGAGACCTCAACCTTGAGTCCATAGACTCCAAGAGATATGGGTAGACAGAACTCAGATGGAAAAGCAACCTTTCCCCAACTAAGCTCAGATGGAAAATTTGCATTTCCTTAAGTGATGGGTGAAAGCAGTCGTCTATTGTGGCTATAATGTCATCACACTAACCACAGGCAGCAGCTCTCTATCCCACTGTACTCGTTAGAACTGCACATGTCAGGTACAGCATCACTAAACTAGAATGGCATTGCGGAGGCCTACCTTAAGCTTTATTTTACTGCACTAGTAAAGGATCACATTCTGCCTTATCACATTTTAAAAGTTATTTGGTACTTTAATATAACTCATTTCTCTGTAAGTCTATGTATTTTATTTTCTGAGTTTACCATACCTCTAAGAAAGGAGATATAGGTTTCAGTAGACTGTTGAAGCGAGTCATAGAGAAAATAAAACTCTGAAAGAGCAGAAGGGTCAGCATAGAGTTCACACACTAATGATCACATGTGTTCCCCTCTAGAGCATATTTGTTCATGTTTTAAATATAGACCAGAATGTACCAATCATCTTACTTCACAATCTAAAGACAAATGGGAGAAACAGATTACAAACTACTGACAACTGGGAAAGAAACAAACAGCTTGCAACCCAATATTGAAAAAGCAATCAATATGTACATGAGCACATACACACACACACACACACACACACACACACACACACACACACGTGACAAAAAGACACACTCGTACATGGATGTGTAAAAAGATGCATATGGATGTAGGCATCAAGCAAACACAAAAACTCTAAAGGTTTATAACTGAAGAGAAATAACTGTAAAGTTGAACATCCTGATGACCTCAGTGGTCTCCAGAGGCATCACTACATTAAAGCATAGTGGAACAATGGACATTTATAATGTGATAATTATAAGAAACATCTCAAATCCACATAGTTTGCAGCTTATAAGAGACTTTTATATTCACTGTTTGAGTAATTCTCAAAATGTTTGAGTTACCATGTCAAACACAAGGACCACAGCAACATTTGAATTCTGTGGCTTAGAGACACTGAAGAACTTGGGGTCCAGTGGGTGTTAGATAGGGCTGCAGTTCATAAGCTATTGCAGGGTCACTCTGGGTCGTCAAAAGCATCTATGTACATGCCAAAATCTGATTGGCATGACAAGGATGTGAGAAAGACCTTTTAGAAAGAGTTCCACAAAAATCAATTAAAAGCAAACTTTAAGTCTTCACAAGAATAAAATTAAGTTAGGTGGGTACTACCTGTTTGTCAAATCCTAGTTACCCTCTAGTACCATGGAGGTCTAAATTTCACTTACAAGTGATGAATCCAGGACTATGTTAGGCCTGGAGCACACAGATAAGAACATATGTACACACCCATCGTGATAACCACACAGAGCATTTTGTTTAAACACGTAGTCCACTGGGGATTCCTGCAGAGAAACTGAGTGCAGGACATCCATGGCAGGTGCACTTCAAAGCTCCCACCCTTGGAGGTCATTAGCAGCTTTCCATTCTATTCCAACACTCAGGGCTGAACGTAAAATTTAAAATGTATAACAGTCATAAAATGGAAGAAAAAACACATTAGAAAAAAGTTTTCTTGGATTTTAAATGGGACATATGATCATAAAAGCTATCTGCCGAAAGGAAATAGGAGAAAAAGCACTAAAATTGTTATTAGAAAAATTCCCTTGCTGTCTTTTTCCAGGGTGATGGGTAAGGTTAGTTCAAATCCAGGAGGAAGGTGGGGGGGTGTTGTAAGAAATAAACAAAATGTACAGGTAGGTTTTGAGAAACCCGGGGCTATCTGCTTAGCACTCCTAATGGACTTCAGTCAGCTGTCACCATAGTAACCTCTGAATGACTGTTCCTAGCTTGTGGCACTTAGGCACTTCGGACCCTTGGGATTCTGGTCATTTTGCTATGGCCGGAAGAAGCCCAGAGGGGAATCCACATACCCTCTTGTTCAGACCGAGTCATCTCCTCCAGCTTCTTCTGCTTCAGCGTATCCACCACATCGGCAAGGCTCCCTTTGCGGCGTTCCGGGGTTCCAAAAGTAACACTGTTCATTATCTCGCGATCCCGACTCCCTTCGTCAGGCTTATGTGGTGAGGTAGACGTATTTCGGAAGGAATATAGGGAACATAACTTATTATTCTCTGACTCCTAGAAAAATGAAATGAGAGTGTAAGAAAAAAAAGTCATTAGTGTATAGGTTTCTTTCAAAACTACTCAAAACAAAAAACAAAAAACAAAAAAACCCTAACTAAAGGATAACATGTGATGGTCATTGGATCAAATAAATTATATTAATAAAATAAAGTGACCCATTCAGCAAAGCAAACAAACCTGCCTTTCTGATAAGCAGTGCTGAACTCTAAAGTAGTTAATTACCAAAGGAACTCAACTCAAATCCCAGGCTCAAATTGTTTCGTTTTTGAGGTAATAAACAACAAAACTGGACATTAGGCTTTTCATTCACTCATGCTTTGAATTTATGAATGTTCAGGTTCAGTGAACCAGTAATAGAACTGGTAAAGTTTTTCTCCCCAACTAGGTATTTTTATCAGCAACATTCTTCCCACAGACCAAAATATGTATATAACACAGAAATGTTTTTCTCTCATTTTGAAAGATTGGAAGTTGGTTTCAGTGCCCAGCATTCACTGCTCACTAGAAATTGCATAAAATGTCTAAACCTCTGCCAGAGAGTCAGCAATCTGAATATTTTGCCATGCTGGGGTTTGTAGGAATTGCTTGTTTTAAGCTACACATGTGTCCATAGTCACTGAAGCTCCCGTCCACTCCTCAGCCTTGCTCCCGATGCTCCAGCATGCTGTATCATGCTTCTCATGTGGTGTTTTAGAGCTGTGTCTAACAGCAATAAAATGCTCATTGCATAAATGTTTGCACAGGAGTTACTTCACAGTATACTAAAGTTTGCTAGCGGCTAGTTGGTTCCATCTATCAGCTGCAGGAGAGGGAGCAAATTTTAGGTTAAAAAATAAACACCGCATGGAAGATTTTTGAAAAGGAAATAGTTTTGTCACTCTGAATCAGAACTGAGAACTCCAGGATAGAGAGATGGTTAGCAGCTGTTAAGAGTGAATGCTGCTTTTGCAGAGGACCAGAGTTCAGTTCCCAGCACTCACATGGCTCATTTCACAATCCTATAATTCCAGCTCCAGGGTACTCAATGTCTCTGGCCTCTGTGTGCAACTGTATTCACAAAGTCACATATTCACATTCACAAACCCACACATACACATAATTTAAAATAAAAATTTTAAGAACCAAGGATTAGAGGTAACTGTTACATGGGCTATAGCCCTCCAGTAGTCCTCCATACACCTTATCTGAACAAAAATATTCTTTTCCTGGTTAAAAACAATAACATCTGTGAAGTGTCTGTTCTTTAGAAGTTGCAAAATCCTTATGGCTCCCAACTTCTTTCCTTCCAAAGGCAGCCCAGACAGCTTGAGTGAAGGAGGGCTGGGGCTGGGTCAGCAGCAGAGCACTTGGGCTGGTTTGCACAGTGACAGGTTTGTTCTCCAAGAACAAGTAATGGAACTAAACTAGCTCAGGAAAAAGTCAGAGGCTAATGCGACAGAGTCCACGCAAAGTGGTGGGGAACATGAGACTTAAAGCAGTGGGTCTCTATGTGCATTAAATGGGACAATAGCTATGCATCCCAGAGGCTGGGATTTGGGTACTCCTGGTCATAGGGTGGAAAGGGCTCTGTTTTCAAGGTTGTTGGGACCATAGGATAAGGGAGCACTTTAAAAGCCTCTGGGCATGGTGCTGAGCCCCCTGAGCTGAGGTGATGTCCTGAAGGAAGGGATAGATATAGGACTGGGATTAGAGAGATTGTGAAGTAAAGGCATTGATATGACCTTGAAATTAACTTAAATACCATGAGTCCCTGAAAATCTACTAAACTGTGTGTGTTAAATGGATAAAGTGCATGGTATGCATTTCAATAAAGCTATTTAAAATACTGTGAGATGAGTCTTCAGCTCCCTGCCTTCATGTTATTGCAAGCACAATGCCGGAGGGGATGTATGCAATGGCTTCAATCTGAAACAACTTGGAAAGGACAAAGTAAATAGGTGAGGCCTGAGCTTTATCTTGCACCTAGACCACCTCAGTCACCCACGAAAGACTCACTATCTCAGCTAACACATACAAGCATTCTGTGGAGGGAGGCAGAGAAGCCCTCTTTGAGATGCCTGCTGTGCTTAGGTCTTGACTCCTTAGGATGGTCTGTTCATTCTCCACATTATGCAAACAAAACCCCAACAGACATGATTGTTGGTGCCACTGTGACTGTGGTATTGATGGATCAATAATCATCACTAGATTGTTTATCCTTCACTTTTCTTCAGATGCAAAGTGTGCTCATATAGCCTGAAAATAAAAACTTAAGCCCTGGCACAAGCTAAGAAAGAGCTGAATGACAAAACAGTGGTAGAGACCTGCTCACCTACAGGTGGTTCCATGACCAGAATGAAGGTCTTCCCAGTGGTGTCAGAGGGAGGCTGAAAGGCTCTGAAGAGGCACTCCAGACTAGCACTCCATGCATTGGGTGCCATTTGTCCCTCCGGCTCAAGTTCAATCAGCCCTATGAGCTGGATGTCACTTCCCTGTTGGACTGTGTTCTTTCTTTTCTGGTCATGGGAATGCAGTTATAGCCATCCTATACCAAAGACAATAACCATGGGGTCTTTTGCTTCAGTGATGACCCATGCTGTCCTCTGTCCCATAATCTGGTCAAGGTGCCTCTATACTACCAAGGACAGAATGTGACACTGTGAAGTCATGATCTCTCCCGTGAAAGCCACAAGAATTATTTGTAATACGTTGCCAAGGCATCAACATGGGGAGTAAGTAAAGTCATCAGAGGCTGAAGTTGTGTACATTTATAGTGGCCTTTGGACACATGGGGAGGGAGTGTGCCTATCACTTCTAAACTTTATGAAACAGTAAACACTGGGTTTTCCATGAACCCCTAATTTATTTGAGTAAAACTGACAAGTAAGTCAATGTAGCTTTAAAAATTTGTCCAAATGAGAGAGGAACAAAGAGAGGAGCAGGAGCCCTTCCCAGAAAGACTCAAAAAACATCATGGAAGAGAGGATAGAAGGATTCTAAGAGCCAGAGGCTGGGGAGGACTGCTTCCCTTTCTAGATAGGACAGGGCCATTGTACTCATGAACTCATATCAGCTGTGGCACCTGCACAGGGTCTGTTCAAGATCAAGATCATGTACTCTCACATGGATAGGGGAGGGGCTCATGTAACTTCACCTGTAGTGGAGAGCTCTTGACAAGTGATCAGGGCTGAAGGAAGGAGGATCAACTTTCTTCGGCAGCATGGACTGCCAAGTAAAATAAACATTAAAAATTTTTGAAATATCAGATATGAATTTGGAAGGAGGATGGGCAAGGGAGGAGTTTGGAGAGTAGGATGCTACAATCTAAAAACATTGTATCTTTGTGTGAACTTACCAAAGAAAATATCATTAAAATGGAGGGGAAATGTATACTTAGAGTAGCAAACACACTTTGACAAAGCATTTCTAACCATCTCAGAGAGTTACATTATTTTGTGGAATTTTTCTTAAGGAATTAGTTTATTTTGTAATTTTCTAGGGCCAGACAGGTCCTATACCAGACAACTGAGGTAAGTGTGCAAAGACTCTTGCATTCCCGGCATGAGCTCAAGAACATGAATACAGCAGCTCAGAGACATAGGTCTGGACCTGCCGGCAAGAAATATTGCTCCCTAAGAAGATGGTAAAATAGATGTAGGTGGGAACTGGAGAGCTGGCCCCATCTGTAAAGTGCTTGCGATGAAAGCATGAAGACCTGAGTTCAGATCCTCAACCCTGATGCAAAGCTGGGCATGGTTTCATACACTTACAAATCAACTGCTAGGAAAACAGACAAGTCGACTCCTGAAACTGATTAGCCAGCCACTTTACACAAATGGGTAAACTATAGATCCAAGGAGGGACCCTAACTGGAAATAAAGGTGGAGAGAGAAGAAGACACCCAGTATCAACTCTGGCCTTTAAAAGGACACACACACACACACACGCACACACGCACACACACACACAACAAAAGCAGTTTTGTAAAGTTTTAAATTGTGTTTGGCCTTAACATTGCAATGTGAACATAAAAAAGACAAAAATCAATAACTCTAGTGAGATGTGACTTTTTGTAAATAACAAGACAGGAGATGACTCCCCTTCTTTTGATCTTTCTTTGGAAAACAATTACTAAGTCACAGAGTGATCACAGGAACATCACAAAAAGCCAGAAATGAGGAACTCAGTGAGTTCCTGAGCTACTGTTGCATTCAATAGAAATTTACAATAGACTTGTTTCCTCTTGTCCCCTCAATGGTTCCACCAAAAGTAGCTGTGAAGAAAAATCTTAATATCTTTTAAAAGAATTCCTGTGCCAATACAAGACTAAGATGATGCAGATTCAGATTGTGTAAGAAAAAAAAATCAGTGTGAATCAATTAAACACATGACATGTATGCAGATGACTGAGCTAGCCAGAGCAGTGCCAGAAAAGAAAAAGCCGTTTTCACAAATCAAGAATTTCAATGAAAATGTTTCCCAGTGGCTGAGGGGACAGATAAGTAAATATTTTTAAACACAAGATATTTTTCAATCGCTCAGATTTTCCAGAATTCTTACCAAAAGTGAGTGCTGAGCAGTAGTATTCAGAGGAATTTGAATTACCCCAGTCTATGCCTCTGCATGCTTATCACCTCTCATAGAATGGCCTGCATCCTCCTTGATGGGAAAGCCATGTGTCAAGTTCAGAGCAAACTGTACTTCATCCCTGAAGCCCTCCCTTCCTGATGGCACAGGTCTCACCAGTCAGCTGCTGCCCAGATAACACAGCGAAGAACTTAATGCATGTAATCTAGCAGTTATTAGCATGCTATAGTAGATGGTTCTTTATTATTTTAGATGCCATGGAAACATTTACAATTGAATTTACAATTTTAACTCTTGAAGTTACATACTAGAAACTGTGGACTGAAGAACTTCCAACAAAGCTCTCCAAATATATCCAAAGAACTAAAAATTAAAGCCGAGGGAAGATTTCTTTAACCATGTGAATGTGTAAACAAAATCCTTAGAAT